TGTATACAGTTTCCTAGTGTTTTAAGGGTTTTTACATCTATGATATCAGGTATATTGGCTTATATTTTCTTTTTTGTAGTATCTGTCTGTTTTTGGTATCAGGGTAATATTGGCCTCATAAAATGAGTTTGGAGCCTTCCCTCCTCTTCAGGTTTGGTTGGAACATTTAGTCCATTTACATTTAAAGTAATTATTGATAGGTATGTAATTATTGTCATTTTACTAATTGTTTTATGATTGTTTTGTAGTGATCTGTTCCTTATTCTTTTGTTCTCTTGTTTGTATCAGTCTATTTTAAGTTGATGGTCACTTAAGTTTGAACACATTCTAAAAATCAGTACAGTTTTTACCCACCCCCTGTACAATTATGTTTTTGTCATTGTTTACTTCTTTTGTGTTTATGTGTATCCATTAATTGTTGTAATTACACATGATCTTCCTACTTGTTAGGAAGTTTTTTAACCTTTGTACTAGTTTTACAGTTGGTTGATTCACTGCTTTTATTATGTGTTTGCCTTTGACAGTGAGAATTTTTTCTTTTCTGTTTTTTTTTATTCACATTTTTAATCTTTTCTTCTTAAAGAAGACCCTTTAACATTTCTTGTAATACTGGTTTAGTGATGATGAACTCTTTTAGTTTTTCTTTGTCTGGGAAACTCTATCTCTCCTTCAATCCTGAATGATAGCCTTGCTGGGTAGAGTAATCTTAGTTGTGGGTCCTTGCTTTTCATCACTTTGAATATTTTGTGTCAGTCCCTCTGGCCTAAAAAGTTTCTGGTGAGAAATCAGCTGATAGTCTTATGGGAGCTCCCCTGTACATAACTAAACTACTTTTCTCTTGCTTTTTTTAGGATTCTCTCTTTGTCTTTAACTTTTGGCATTTCAATTATGATGTGTCTTGGTGTGGGTCTCTTTGGGTTCATCTTGTTTGGGACTCTCTGCACTTCCTGGTCTTGTATGTGTATTTTCTTCACCAGGTAAGGGAAGTTTTTGGTTATTATGTCTTCAAATAGGTTCTCAGTTCCTTGCTCACTCTCTTTTCCTTGTGGTTACTCCTGTGATGTGAATGTTGTTACACTTGATGTTGTCCCAGAGATCCCCTAAACTACCCTTATTTTCTTTTAATTCTTTTTTCTTTTTGCTGTTCTAATTGGGTATTTTCCAATAGTTTGTCATCCAGATTGCTGATTTCATCATGTGTTTCCTTTAATTTACTGTTGATTCCATCTAATGTATTCTTCACTTAAGTTATTCTTCATTTCTCACTGGTTCTTTTTTTATTTCTGTCTCCATTTTCATGTTTCCCATCTCTTTGTTGAAGTTCTCACTGAGTTCATCTATTGTTCCACTAAGTTCACTGAGGATTTTTATAACCATTGTTTTGATCTCTGCATCTGGTAGATAGCTTGTCTATTTTGTTTAGTTCTGGAGTTTTGTCCTGTTCTTTCATTTGGGACATCTTTCTTTGTCTCCTCATTTTAGCTGTCTCCCTGTGTTTTTTTTCCCCCCCGTTCTGTGTATTAGGTAGATCTGCTTCATATTTCAGTCTTGGCAGAATGGCCTTATGTAATAGTTATTCTGTGGGGCCCTGTGGTGTAGTTTACTTGGTCACTGAGCCTGGTGCTCTAGTGGTATCCATTGTGTGGTTATGTATGCTCTTCTGTTATAGTTTAACTTTGATTGCTATTGGCCTGTTGGTGGGTGGGCATGATCCTCAGGCTGACTGGTTGTGAGGACTGGCCGTGACTACAGCAGATGAACTGTTACGCTGGGGCCAACTCCACAGAGCAGGATTCACTTTAACAGGGCTATGGTGCCTTCTGAGTGCACCCTTTGGGTATGTCGTTAGTGGAGCTGGTTGGGTGGTGCGCTAGTGTGGTCTGAAGCTGGCCATCTGATGTGGGACCTCTTGGGAGGGACTCTGGTGCAGGCCAAGGCCAGCTGCTGCCTGTGCTGGGCTTCAAGGCACCTGGGAGAGGCTAGGCTGCACACTGAGGCTGGCTGCCTTTAGTGCTGGGCTTGGAGCCACTTAGCAGGAGGTACTGGGTACACCAAAGCCAGCTGCTGATTTTTGGGGGCTTGTGGACCTTTGAGAGATTTTAGGAAAGTCTGCAGTGCTAGCAGAGGAAGGCTGCTTCTGTTGAGGAGCTGCTGGAAGAGATTTGGTCTGGGCTCACATGTTGGGTGGGGTGGGTATCTCGGAATCACCAGGGTAGGGTGAATGGTGTTAGCCAAGTTAATGCGGAATTTGGATTTGGCACCTGCCTGCTGCCCGGGTAGGGGGAAGGCTCAAGAAAGGAACAATAGTGTCTGCCAGCACTTCTGTCTAGGAGAGAGTTGCCCTGACCCCTGCCCCTCTAGCTTGTGCCCTGAAGCTAGTCAGTTCAGCTCCAGTTCTTCTCTTTTTGAACTGCTGCCCCAGTGCTGGAGCTCAGAGCGAGTGTGTTTGTGTGAGGCTGAGCGTGGTCCCTTCAAGTCTTGTAGTGCCTAGGTTTCCAGCAATCCTCCATCTCACTCAACCACAATCCCTGCTTGTTTTCATAGCCAAATATTATGGGAACTTCTCTTCCTGACACTGGAGTCCTGGGCTGGGGAGCCTGGTGTGGGGCTGGAACTCCTCACTCTTCAGGGGGGATCTCATTTCTTAACTGCTACAGCATGGGTGTGGGACCTGTCCATTCTGCATATCTACCTTTCCTACCAGTCTTGATGTGATTTCTCCTTTATATCCTTAGTTATAGGAATTGTGGTCAGCTAGTCTTCAGGTGGTTCTCAATGATACTTTTTCTATAATTTAGTTGTACCTTTGATGTGGTCATGGAAGGAGGTGAGCACAACATTTATCTACTCCACCTTCTTGACTAGAAGTCCTCCCCCTCCTGATTCTTAATTAAGAATTCTTAATTTCCCCTCCTGTGGGTGTGGCTTCTGCCTGTTCCACATCTCTGCCCCTTCTAACAGCCTTGAGTGGCTGCTTCTTTATATCCCTAGTTATAGGACTTCTGTTTAATCACTTGTCAGGTGGTTGTCAATGATGGTTGTTCTATAATTTAGTTGTAATTTTAATGTGGTCTTGGAAGGAGGTGAGCACAGCATTTATCTCTCCATCATGACTGGAAGTCCTTGATTTTGCTTTTCTAACAAGCACCCAGATGATGCTGATAACTAATCCTTGGGCCACACTTTGAGTATCAAAATCCATGCTGGAGAAAAGCAGAGTGCCAAATTCACTAAGCTTTGTGATCTGGGAAGTCTTTTCCAGGGAAGGTGAAATTGTAGCTGGGTTCTCAAAGGATAAGTTCGATTTGGATAGGAAGAAAGAGAGGCAAGGACATTGCATGCAGAAGGAAGAATATGCAAAGGCCCAGAGACAGGAATGAATCCCATGTGTCTGGGAACAACGAACAGAATGGCTTGGCAAGATGTAGGTACAAGATGGAAAAAAAGAATAGTTTTGATAGGTAGCATGAAAATTGGTCCTTAATTATCTGCTTAGGTATCACCTAGATGGGCCTTTCTATTTCTTGCATCCACTTGTCCACTCTCAGAGGGGACTTCTGTTTTTCTGGGGAGATGAAGGCCTGAGTCAGGACACCTGAATAAATTGTGTGAAGCAATATGTGAAGTAGGAAAAGGGAGGGGTGTGGTTGACTTCTTTACCCTAATTGGCTTTGTGAAGCCTTGGGACTTCCTCCTTCCTTCCCTTACTCCCTCCCTCCTTTTTTCCCCCTGAAGTTATAAGAGCAGTGGGAAACTGAGCCTTGAACATCATAAGCACTAAAGGAATATTTGCTGATTGATTTGAGTGATTCTGAGATCTTGTCTCTCTTCTCTAAATCAAGGAACATTTTCAGCTCAGTTCGATATAAGAATGTATTGCATGACTTATGTACTGAGACTTGGGTATGTTTCTGTATTGCTGCAAGGAATTAGAATACTTGAGCTCTGAACTCAAAGAGTTTAGTATTATTCTAGAGCAGTGGTTTTCAACTGGGAGCAATTTTTGTGCCCCAAGGGACATTTGACAATGTCTGTATACATTTTGGTTGTTGCATCTTTTGGGATGCTACTAGCATCTCGTGGGTAAAAGCCAGGGATGCTGCTAAACATCCTACAATTTACAGACACCCCTCTCCCTGCCACAACAAAGAATTAACCAGCCCAACATATCACTAGTACCAAGGTTGAGAAACCCTGCTCTAAAAGAACAAGGCTAACAAATATTGGGTTTTCAGAAAAGTCATGACGTATTTTTTTCTATGTTTTTCATTGCAAAAATGCGTCATGACTTTACCAACAACCCAATAGAAATAGAATTTTGATGTTGGAAGGCCATACTGCTAGTTAAAAGCAGGGCAAGGACTGAATCTTAGTTTACCTAGTATAATGTTGTGCCTGCTACCATTTAGAGTCAAATGGCATTATATGACAATATTTTACCTAGCTTCACCCCCACCAATCCTGATTAATACTTTTTGCTCTAGCCATACTCAATTGTTTGTATGTTTTGCAACTTCATTTCTTCATGTTCATGTTCCTCTCTTTGCCTGGAATATATTTCTCTCATTTCCTCATCTGGATAGTATTTCACATCTACTCCAGGAAGTCTTCACTAATCTATAACACCCAGGTTGGATTAGAAGCCATTTCTTTATTCTTCCATAGATAGTCTTTAGTATCCAATAATGAAATTTTCTGTTTTTATGTCTGTCTTCCTCTCTAGGCTGTGAGCATCTTAGGAGTTAGATTCACTCTTCTGTCCTCATTGCCTAGCACAGATATGCAAAACAATGTCAGTCATAGACAAGAGCCAAGTAAGTGGCTAGAAAAGGGAAGAGATCAGTAGGGAATAGAGTACTGGGGAAGGCTTCATAGAGGTTGTGACACTTGAAGCTTCCTGTAATACCTTGAAGATATTGGTGAATGTGTGAGTACCTTATGTTGGGTAGGGACAGTTCTAAGACAGTAACGGATTTTTTCTGGTGGTGTCTTTTCTACAGGTTGATATGTCACACCTCTCCCCAGAGGAGCAATGGAGGTAAGTGTGATAGTATGGGCCCCTTAGGTGGGAACTGTAGATTAATACAACGAATAGAGTTGTATATCTACCCTTTTTGCTTCCTTGTCTGTGGGAGGCAGTGACTCATGAGTAGGATAGGTCTTTTGGGATTTTTTTTCCCAGTACCTGGGTCACTCCTAGGTCCTAGGGAGTAAATAGGTAATTGCACATAACCATCCACCTGGGTTTGAATACTAGTTCTGCCATTTCCTAGCTGTGTGATCTTGGGCAAGTTACTTAGCTTCTCACTGCCTTAGTTTTCTCCGTTTGTAAAATGAGGATCAAAACAGTACCTACACCTCAGAGAGTTGTGAGGATTAACATACGTGAAGTTCTCAGAACAGTGCCTGGCATGTAGTAAGCTCCCAGTAAGTGTTACCTGCTTTGAAGATGATTATTATCATTAACATCATCATCACCATGAAACAGGGCACAGGGCTCTAATTGAGAAAATGGCAGATGTGTTTCTCATCTCAGCTTGCTACTAACTTGCCATGTAACCAGAGTAAGTAAACAAATATCTATCTTATTGTCTTGATTTCTCATCAGTGAAAGAGTTTCAGAATGCTTGCCCCACAAACTTCACAAGATGGCTGGCCAATGAGCTGAAAGCAACAAAATAAAATTTAATAATGAGAAAAAACCTTTTAGATGAAAACTGTTGATTATAGAATGGCAAAGATATTAACGTATACGACAAACCCAGCAAGGTTTTAGATGATTTTAAGCTTACTATGCACCAGTTGTGTACCTCAGCTACCAAAATATTCCAAATTTGGAAGATGTTTATAGAAATATACTATCTGGGCTGGTCGAATGGCGCGATGGTTAAGAACTGGCTTGGGACGCCAGAGGGCCCCAGTTCAGATCCCACATATGAGGGCCAGTGACACTGCCCTCTACAGCTAAGATGCTGAACAACAGCTCAACCTGGAGCTGGGCTGCTGTGAGTTGCTGGCGCCGGCGTAGGCTGCAGCCCCTGTGGCAGTGGGCTGCCATGTGTAGCCGGCAGCCAACACGAGCGACCAGCAGCCGCAGTGAGCGGCCGTCCAGAAGCCGGCGACTGATCTGCCTCGCCCAAGAGCGCAATGATGGTACCAACTTGGGCCAGTGAAGCAACGTCCTCCACAACTAGACTGAAGAACAAAAAGACAGCAACTTGTCTGTTCCCCTTCCCCCAATTCCCCAGCGCTGTTCCCATCCCAATTCCCCAATAAAAATCTTAAAAAAAAAAAAGAAATATACTATCTGCCTTAAGGGAGGTGACAGTGCCATTATGCTCTGCTTCACCGAAGCCACATTGATTATGTTGTAAATGCTGTGTATTAAGAAGATCTTTAGCTAGATAATGTCTAGAAGAAGGCAACCAGGATTAATTGTCTCCACATTGTTATATGAATACTGTTTAAAAGCTCTGGGACCAAAAGTGTCAGGAAAATGGTGATAGGAACAGGATAGTTCTTTTTGTTTGTTTTCAATAAGATTATGAGAAATCTTTGAAGAGACAGCATTGGAAAAGAGTTGTGGATATATCCTTTGTGGTCCAGAGTATAGGATTAGGCCCAGTGGATTGAAGCTGTAGGAAGATAGATTTTTGTCTCATTACCAGAAACATCTTTAATGATTACAATATATTGAGAGATAGTGAACTTCCTGCCCCTTAAAGCATTGGAATTTTATTCCTTTATAAGCACATATGAGTACCTACTATGTGTCAGACACTGCTGGTTCTAGATTAGATTACCTTAAGAGGCATATGTTCTTAGCCAATGGAAGTATTCAAATAAAGGATTTCAAAAATAATTTTTGCATTGGGTGAGAACTTGAGCTAGATGACTTCTCTGGTTTTTTTAAGATATTTTCTTTCATTTCTTGTGCCAATCCATTCAGTCATATGCTGTCTGAAAGAAACTTATCCCTTGTTATCTTTATAATTCCCCACAGTTCTGAGGTTTTTAAAGTGTTCTTCGCCCTTTTAGTTTAGCTTATTCTCACAACAACCTAATGAGAGAGGCAGAAAAGATATGGACTACTTTTGACAGATGAAGTAATTATGATGTAGAAATGTAAATTTTCTTGGCCAAGTCCATAAAAGTGTGTCTGAACCTTAACATTTCCGACTCTTAACTCTATTATCTTTTTGTCAGATTCTCTTAGTCAGGATAGTGTTTTATGTAAAATGAACCCTTAGGTGCTGTGGCTGGCTGACTCACGGACATTTGACTGCCCCTCCTAACATTTCATTATGAAAAATTTCAAATATACAGAAAAGCTGAAAGAAGTGTACAGTGAACAACCTTATACTCTCCATCCAGATTCTGCAATTAACTTTTTGCTATACAGTAAAAACCTTGGATTGCGAGTAACGTGGTTTGCGAGTGTTCCGCAAGACGAACAAACATTTCTAATACATTTTAACTTGGTAAAAGAGCGATGTCTTGCAATATGAATAGTTTACTTCTGGAACGAATAATGCTCGCAAATCAAGGTATTTGCTTTATCATTTATTCATAATTTATCCCACTGGGTTCTTGCCTTTGGGAATTCCATGAAGATACAATTTATGTTGTCCTTTCCCTCCCTCCCCAATACCACCATGTATGGAATATTGTTATAAAAGCTCCTGACTACGGGATACAGTTCTATTTAGTTTTTTGTTTTACTCCTTCCTCATTCTTCTCCCTCTGCTGACTCTGACCCAGACGTGGTAGGAATTATTCTCTGTTCTTAGAGAAAGCTTTTTGCTGTTATTGGCCAAGCGAATCACTTGCTGCCAAACCTCAGGACAAGAGAATGCCAGCCTTAGATTAAATAAGAGTTTCCAGTTGTACCCTCCTTGAGTCCCCGAGGAGGCTATTTACCTGTAGGTGCTGATGGTAAAGTCATTCTTGAATTAGGATAAATTCAAAGTAGTCTAGATTTTTCAGGCTGTAACTTGTCTTCAGGATTCCTGGTCCTAACAGAGAGGGTAGGACAAATAAAGTAAATCTTTAATCCTGGAAATAACACACATTTGCAATGTTATTCCTTTATTGGTATCATAAATATCATTGACTAAGAGTATGAGACTTTATGACTATAATCTTCTCTTCGGGTTACTTTCTTCTTCTAACCCCAATAGATGAGCTTGGTGACTGGGGCCCATAGAGCCCCTGTTCTGTTCCAAAATGCCTGTCCTTTAGGGCATGTGTATTTCTAGCCACTAATTTGCACAATACCCTGCAGCTGCAAAGCACAAGAGTGTGTTCTGAACTATGGACTGGTAGGATATCCCTGGAAAGCACTGCCCCTTTACCACCACACCATCCCTGACTTGGCTTACCCATTTGTTTGGCTTTCAGGGTCGAGCATGCACGCATGCATGCCAAACACCGTGGCCACGAAGCCATGCATGCTGAAATGGTCCTCATCCTCATCGCTACTTTGGTCGTGGCCCAGCTGCTCCTGGTGCAGTGGAAGCAGAGGCATCCCCGCTCCTACAATGTAAGCCATTTTGACTTGTCTTCTTTGTCTGCCAGAGACCCAATCAAGAGACCCTTCCTAAGAGTTCTAGGATCCAGCCTAACCCAGCCCACATGTAGGTAGAGAATGGGCAATAATAATGGACTTTATGTATGAATGGTGAATAGTGTATGGTGGGTGTGTGTTTAAGGTGCAAGTGATTCAGAAAACGGATAGAACCTGAGGTTACTTATATGACCAGCAAAGATAGGTCCTTCCTTTTAAACATTTTGGCACATATTAATGAAGAAGATATACATTAGGAACTATTCAAATAGAGGGAGGAGTGATCATTTGACTAAGAATACCAAGACTTCAATGAATCTTACAGGTAGGATTTAGGGTTTCTTTTTTGTTTGTGTTTTTAAGACAATAATGGAGGAAATGAACAAAACCAAAACATACAGAGAACATATTGCTAAATAGCAGAAGTAAATCCTTCTTTACCAGTAATTACTTTAAAAGTAAATGGATTAAATCCTATTAAAAGAAAGAGATTGATAGATTGGATTAAAAAAACCCCACCATCCATTTATATGTTGTCTATAAGAAACACACTAGTTATAGGGACACACAGATTGAAAGTAAAAGGATGGAAAAAGGTATTCCATGTATGCCAACAAATTGGATAACCTAAAAGAAATGGATAAATTCCGAGAAACATACAATCTTGTAAGACTGAATACACTGATTACTAGTAAGGAGATTGAATCAGTAATCAAAAATCACTCAGCAAACAACAGTCCAGGACCAGATAGTTTAAATGGTGAATTCTACCAAACATTCAAAGAATATTTTAATAGCTATCCTTCCCAAACTCTTCAAAAAACCTGAAGATGAGGGCCGGCTAGATGGTGCAATTGGTGAGAGTGTGAGCTCTGAGCAACAGCATCGCCAGTTCGAGTCCCACATGGACCTGTGAGCTGCCCCTGAGCAGAGCTGCCGCTGGACTGCCAACAGGTAGCAGGATGGCTCAGCTGGTGAGAGTGTGTGCCCTTAATAACAAGGTTGCCAGTTGGACTCCCACATGGGATGGTGGGCTGTACCCCCCCGGAACTAGATTGAAAGTGGAGACTGGACTTGTAGCTGAGCTTGCGCCCTCCACAACTAAGATTGAAGGACAATAACTTGACTCTGAGCTGATGGGTCCTGGAAAAACAGTGTTTCCCTTCCCCAATTCTCCAACTGTTCTCTTCCCCAATTCCCCAATAAAACATCTTAAAAAAAACAAAACATACAAACAAACAAACAAAAAACTGAAGAGGAGGGAATGCTCCCAAACTCATTTTCTGAGGCCAGCCTTACCCTGATAGCAAAACCAGATAAGGACATTACAAAAAAAGAAAATTACAGGCCATCATCATTGATGAACATAGATGCAGAAATCCTCAACAAAATATTAGCACATCAAATTCAACAATACATTAAAAAGATCATATATCATGATGAGGTGGGATTTATTCTAGGGATGCAAGGATGGTCCAGCATTTGCAAATCGTTGTGATAAACTACATTAACAAAATGAAGACTATAAATCATATCATTTCAGTAGATGCAGAAAAAGCTTCGGACAAAATTCAACACCTATTTATGATTTAAACTCTCAACAAAGTGGGTATAGAAAGAAAATACCTCTACAAAATAAAGGCCATATATGACAAATCCACAGCTAACAGCATTCACAGTGGTGAAAAGCTGAAAACTTTTCCTCTATGATGAGGAATAAGACAAGGATGCCCTCTCTCACCACTTCTATTTAAGGTAGTGTTGGAAGCCCTAGCCACAGCAATTAGGCAAGAAAAATAAGTAAAAAGGCATATAAATTGGAAAGGAAGAAGTATAACTCATCATTTACAGATGACATGATAATATATATATTGATAGAAAACCCAAAAGACTCTACTAAAAAACTGTTAGAATTACTAAGTGAACTCAGTAAAGTAGCAGGATACAAAATCAATGTACAGAAATCTGTAGTGTTTCTATATATTAATAACAAATTAGCAGAAAGAGAAATTCAGAAAACAATCCCATTCAGAATGGCATGAAAAAGAATAAAATATCTAGGAATATATTTAACCAAGGAGGTGAAAGACCTATACACTGAAAAGTATAAGACACAGATGAAAGAAATTGAGGAAGATACAAATAAATGGAAAGATATTCTCTGCTCATGAATTCTAAGAATCAACATTGTTAAAATGTCAGTACTGCACATAGCAATCTATAGATTCAGTGCAACCCCTAACAAAATTCCAGTGGCATTTTTCACAGAATTAGAACAAATAATTCTAAAATTTGTATGGAACTACAAAAGATCCCGAACAGCCAAAGCAACGTTAAGAAAGAAGAACAAAATTAGTGATACCACACTCCCTGATTTCAAACTAGACTACTAATCTGTAGTAATCAAAGCAGTGTGGTATTGGCATAAAAACAGACACTCAGATAAGTGGAACAGAATTGAGAGTCCAGAATTAAAACCATACATATATGGATAATTAATATATGACAAAGTAGCCAAGAACATACAATGGAGAAAGGACAGTTTCTTCAATAAATGGTGTTGGGAAAACTAGACTGCCACATGAAAAGAATAAACTAGACCACTGTCTTACACCGTACACAAAAATTAACTAAAAATGAATTAAACACTTGAATGTAACACCTGAAACCATAAAATTCGTAGAAGATAATGTAGGTGATGTGCTTCTTGATATTGGTCTTAGCAGTGTTTTTGTGCATATGATTTAAAAGGCAAGGGAAACAAAAACAAAAATAAATGGGATTACGTCAAACTAAAAAGCATCTGCACGGTGAAGGAAGCCATTAGCCAAAGAAAAGACCACATACTAAATGGGAGAAGATAATTAAAAATCCTGTATCTGATAAGGAGTTAATATTCAAACTATATAAAGAACTCACACAACTCAATAACAAAAATAAACCAATTAAAAAATGGGCAGAGTATCTGATGAGGCATTTTTTGAAAGAAGATATGTGACCAACAGGCACATGAAAAGATATTCAAGACTTCACTAATTATCAGGGAAATGCAAATCAAAACTTCACTAATTATCAGGGAAATGCAAATCAAAACAATGAGATATCACTTGATACCTGTTGCAATGACCATTATCAAAAAGACAAGAAAGGGGCCAAGCGACGTGATGGTTAAGAACTGGCTTGGGACGCCAGAGGGCCCCGGTTCGGATCCCACATATGAGGGCCAGTGACACTGCCCTCTACAGCTAAGATGCTGAACAACAGCTCAACCTGGAGCTGGGCTGCTGTGAGTCGCCGGCGACGGTGTAGGCTGCAGCCCCTGTGGCAGTGGCTTGCCATGGGCTACCGCGTGTAGCCAGCAGCCAGCGTGAGCGGCCAGCAGCCGCAGTGAGCGGCCGTCCAGAAGCCGGCAACTGATCTTCCTCACCTGGGAAGAGCGCAATGATGGTGCCAACTTGGGCCAGTGAAGCAACGTCCTCCACAACTAGACTGAAGAACAAAACGACAGCCCCAGCACTGTTCCCATCCCCCCAATTCCCCAATTTAAAAAAAAAAAAAGACAAGAAAGAACAAGTTTTGGAAAGATGTGGAGAGAAGAACCTTAGTACGCTGTTGGTAGGATTGTAAACTGGGTGCAGCATGGAAATAGTCTTCAAAAAAGAATAGAATTACCATATGACCCAGCAATTCCACTTCTGGGTTTTTATCCGAAGAATACAAAAACAGATTTGAAGAGATATATACACTCCTGTGTTTATTGCAGCATTATTACAATAGCCAAGATATGGAAACAATATAAATGTCCATCAGTGGGTGAATGGATAAAGAAGATGTGGTACATATATGAGTATACAATGGAACATTACTCAGACATAAAAAAATGAAATCTTGCCATTTGTGACAACATGGGTAGACCTGGAGGATATTATTATGCTAAGTGATATAAGTGAGACAAATACTATATGATTTCACTTGTGTGGAATCTAAAAACAAAACAAGTAAACAAAACAACAAAAACAAACTCATAGATACAGAGAAACAGACTGGTGCATACCAAAGGGGAAAGGCGTTGGGGGTGGGCGAAATGGTGAAGGGAGTCAACTGTAGGGTGATATGGATTGTAACTGTAGGATACTAATTAGATTTTTAGTGGTGATCACTTTGTAGTGTATACAGATGTCAGTATAATGCTGTACACCTAAGACTTATATAATTTTATATACCAATTTTACATCAATAAGAAAAAAAAAATTCTCCCCACCCCAAAATAAAAGATACTCCAAGCTGGGGTGGCTCTTAAATATTGGATGAAATAGACTTTAAATTAAAACAAGTTTACAAGAGACAAAGAAGGACATTATTTATTGATAAAAGGTTCAATACAGCAAGACGACATAATAATTATTAAGGAGCCCCAAAAGTATGCGAAGCAAATATTGACAGAATGTAAGGGAGAAATCATTCTATGATAATAGTTGGAGACTTCAGTACCCTACTTTCAATAATGGATAGAACAACGATATTAATAGGTAGCAGAGAACTTGAACACTGTAAACTAATTAGACCTAACATACTACATATACAGAACACTCTACTCACAACAGCAGAGCATAAATTCTCCTCAAGTGCACATGGAATATTCTCCAGGATAGACCATGTTAGACCACAAAAACGCCTAAATATATTTTAAAGGATTGAAACCATAGATTTAGGTACTCTGGGTTAGAACATGTCAGGTAGTATACTGGATTTTTTTTTTACAATTATTATTTTAGAAGTCTTTAACCTTTTGAAGTATAACCACCCATTTTTAACAAAAAACTTGGCAAACACCCACATGATAATAGTTGAACTTTGAAAGAATACATAAGCACATATAATAGTAACAATAGCTAATATTTGGTGAGTTCTTCTTATGCCAGCCACTGTTCTAAGCACTTGACATATACAGACTCAGCTAATCCTTACAATAACCC